ACGACCGACAGGGGGGCAGAGTGCCGTGACTATTTCTATGAGAGACTACGAGGGAAGCTTCAGTTACATGTTTGTTAAATCCCTGTGCATGTTGGGGAAGAAGCTGGTGAGGCCAACAAAGCAGAATACGTGCCATTAAATGGCTCTGCCTGGCTGTTTAAAAAGAACCCACATAAGTTATCTTACAGACAACATCAAAATATAATGGAATTGATGCCTGATACAAAAAGTAGAGAAATATGTACAGGAATTCATAGCCCAGAAGAAAGGGACCTTAGGATGAACTGATGGAAACCCGGCTATTTTACACAGCTAATTTTGAGACAAGTCATATTTAGCACAAAAGCAATTATAGTGTAAATTACACTTTCCTCCCATGGCTCCCAAACTTTATAACCCTTGTCTGTCTTCGGAAACACTGTGAGCGTTCTTCTAGGAACAGGAATGTGTGTGGTGGTCCCAGATGCTGACACAAATTTTGATCCCAGCTTCACACTTACAGGATCATGTATTTGAATATTGCCATGATAGCAGCACTGATAACCCCAGAAATGGGGACAGTGACAAACCAGGCCATAAAAATGTTGCGAAACAGTCTCCAGTCGACAGCCTTCTTGGATCGGAGCCAGCCGACAGACACAACAGAGCCCACCTAGGAGACACATAGACAAGTTATCCAACTATCCATGGGAAGACAAAGGCAATATAAATATTCAACTATCAGATCTGTGGTAAATGTCCTAAAACACAAGACTCCTTTTCTCTGCCCTTTGTAAATTAAAGTTCTGATTTCCTAGCAACTGTTCTAGAAAGTGGCTGGTATGTGACACCACAAACACCTAGCAGAAAGAGTGACGTGGCAGCCCCAGGCTGGATCAGCTTCAGTTCTTTTAACAAAGTCAGTTTCTCTTTATCATATAATTAAGTTATGGTCACCAAAAAACTTCTTAAAAGTTCAATTAGTTTCTTAGCACCACAGGCCCAAGAGGCCCTAGATACATGCTTTCACCAGAAGACTGTCCTTACAAGTCTCACAAACTTGTTAAATCAGCATATTTACTACCCCAAGAGACAGGAACCTATCCAGAATAGATGACCAGTTTGCTAGCACACACTCGCGCCACAGACTGGCTTCCCGATGGAAGAACACAGAGGTGCTAAGTAAAAAGGAAGCTCCACCGAGACAGCGGATATGATCGCAAGCAGACGAACTGCAGAGCGTCAGCTTTTACCCACAAGGCCCTGTCTAAGCTTGTCAGTTAAGACTTCAACTGCACAAAACTTTCTAAATCAAAGAAAAGAAGTAAAGCCATGCACATGAACGGAGCTAGGACAATTTGAAGGGTTCATTCCGTTCCACTTACTTTACAGTGTGTTGTGCTGATGGGAAGGCCGATGTTTGATGCGATGACCACAGTGAGAGCAGATGCCAGTTCAATACTGAAGCCACTGTTGGCACAAAAAGATGCTTGTCAACATTTTAGGTTTTCTGAAAAGCCAACACTACCAAGTAATCTAATCTACATAGCGACAAAACCTGACATTTCTCCTCTAACCCTTGTAATCTAACACCTGAGGATTAAGTACTTCTGGAATTTCATTATTTAAAAAGCTGGGACATGCCAAGCATGGAGGCATATGCCTTTTAATCTTCACAAGCAGAAGGCAGATAAAGATAAATTTCTGAGTTCAAGGTCATCTTGGTCTATATAGTAAATTCCAGGCCATTCAAACTACAGAGAGACCTGTCTCAAAAAGTCAACAACAACAACAAAAATAAGAGTTCGGACTTTTATTCTGAAGAAAACATAAGGTTTTAGCTCCCAAATCAAAGTCATATATACAATTTATGCCAAATTTCTTTCTCAGAAAATTCAATTATGTGATCACTGAGCTGAGCTGACTGAAATGTTTACTAGCCAGACAGTAAGTGCAATAGAAATGCTCAGATCAGCTGGGGACAGCAGCGACTGCGGTACACTCCACAGCACTGCATCTCTAGGGACAGCAGCGACTGCAGTACACTCCACAGCACGCATCTCTGGGGACAGCAGCGACTGCGGTACACTCCACAGCACGCATCTCTTGAGAAGCTCAAGCTCTGTGCTGAGGCAGGCTCCACCTACTCACCTGGAGGGTGTGATTGGGGTCAGGTCCTTCCCCATCGTCTGGATAACTCTTCTTCCCCAAACCCACAGCCCTGTGCAGATGCCAACACCACCATAAAGCAGAAGCCATATCGGTGTTGCCACTTTCGTAGATACATCATTCGTGTCATAAACAAGGTACAAGGCAACTAGAGGACCGATGGCATTGCTAGGAGGAAAAGGAGAACAGTGGTGACTTTCTAGAAAGAACTTCCTGTCAGATCCAACCTCTTAATAACTGACGGACTGAACTGTCTATACCCAGCTTTTCAGCTCAGCCAGCCAGCCACCCTATAGAAGCCCAACACACAAGACAATCACGGCTGCAGTGACAGAAGGGTAGGCAACTGGTGGTGTCGTCTCTCCTCTACGCACTTAAAGCAAGCCTCCAGGACCCAGTGAGGGTCACAGGCCACAGAAACAAGGCTTGACGACCGTAAGTCCACTCCCTGGGGCAGTCAGTGATTTTAAGATTTTCATCATTAATGTCAGAATTTACCAAAGACTCAGTTCCCACCCAGAGAGGCATTATCTTGAACAGAAATAAAGCTAAAAACATTTTTATAATCTGAGTGAACTTCCCTTTTGCTTTATTAACCACCACCTCACCCTGTCTAGATTATTCAGTGTCCCCCCAGGAGGTAGAGCACTGTTAGGAAGGTGAGCAGACTGTTTAAAAAGAGTAAGCAACACTGAGTCATGCGGACTGACCTGACGTCATTACCACCATGGGCAAATGACCCAAAGCAGGCTGTAAGAATCTGCAGAAACTGGAAGAGGAGGGAGACTTCAGGCTTATCCTGGTCATACCACTCTTCAAGAGAGCCACTGCTCCCTTTTCTGTCACCCAGACCCATCTCAGCCTTAACATTCATGTCCATCTCAGATTCCGAGTGAAGGTCAGACACAGCATTGCAGTAACTGGTGTAACTGTCCATTCGAATCCGCTTCTTGGTATCTGCATTAGGCCATGTCAACGTCTCCGTTTCTTCTCCCTTCTGTTCACCTTCTTTGGCACGGAAGGAATCCAGGGGCATGCCACATATTGCCATGGTGTAGGAAGTATAGCTGTTGTTGCGCCTCAAGGGCTTGTCTCCAGAGTCCCCCATGCAGTCTCCCACCTTGGCCAGATGTAATTTATGAAGCAGCTCTTTGTACAAGCCAGAATCTTTGTGCACGGTGTGATACTGATAGTGGCCACTGGAGTTGATCTGGTTGCTGACAGTTTGGCTGAACTGAACAAGGTTCCCATTAGGCAACTGTACTGCACCTAGCCGAGATCAAAAGTGAAACATTCAATGCAAAGTTTATCAGCCCAGAATAGCAGCCTCTCCACAAGCACGACATGAGGAAACCCCGGGAAGGTAACTCACCATTGATGGTACCGTCTATGCTGGTCTCCTCCTTCAAGTCCATGGGAAGCCGCTCTCGCTCTGGAGCTTCCTCCAGGTCCCCAAGTTTGAATGACACTGTTCTCTCCTCTACCACAGCCCGGAGAGGCCCAGTGGCACATGGCATCTCAGACACGGGATTCCCGTTCTCAACATCCCCAAGAGACATCTTTGTTTCTTCATGGTCTTCTTTCAAGTTGTTCTTCTTTTCCATTAAGGGACTTTCAGAGGGACTAGACTTTATTTCTCCTAGGAAATAAAGGGAATTTTTGGTTTGACTATACTACTACTTTGTTCCACATCCCTTTCTATCCACCTGAAACTCATCTCAAAATAACAGGTAAGTATATTCTAGTTAAAAATTTAAGCTACCATTCCTACCCTCTTTATATGTCAGGAATTCATCTTTCCTGTGGGAGCAAGCCAGCCGCATACCACACCCTCTACTGGGGGGAAAGGATGACAAACTGCTGTAAATGGCCAGATAGTAAATATTTTAGGGTTCTGGTTCATTTCTTGTTTTTTATTTTTATAATTTACAAGCGTAAAACCCTTCTTAGCGCTCAGTTATAAAAGGGAGTTCAAGGCAGTTGACTAGCTAGGCTAGACTGCCACTAAGGAATCTACTGTCAGGTCAAGAGTACAGACACCTAAGCTGTAGCAGTCATGCCTAAACACTTCCACACCCAGCAGCCAGGCAGTGTTTCTATCAGGCACATTCACCAACTGGCTCAGGCATCTCACACAAGTACAACATTAAAGATTTGTTTCTCCTTCCAGACTGAGAAAAAAAGAATGAGGTCAGAGTCCTGAAAGCCTCATCCCCACTGTGCATGCGGCACAGCAGACAGCACAGCTCTGGGCAGCTCCTCAGTTCAGCAGCAATGACACAGCATTCTAACGCCACTGCAGTCTACGCATCCCGCACTGCTGTCAATCGGCAAACTGACTTTCCCTGCACTGAAAGGACGGAATTGGGTTCTTCTAAGCTATCTTACCCACTAAGAAAACAAAGACTAGTTAAGGCTAGTACCAATCAAAACTTCCTCAGTATTTAATGAAACCACAAAAACAATTCTGTAATAACCTAAGAGACTACTTGTCCCTAAAACTGTTTACTTCTATATGTGTTATAGCTCTAGCACGAGGACTGTGTGTATGGCTGTGCGTCTGCACTATGCAGTGGATACTGCTACACACACGACAACACATACATCTAAGCTGAGTATACAGAGACAGCTGAGGTAAATGCTTTCTCTATCACAACTATTGTGTACCTACCCTTAGTCACATATTCTTAATGTCTAGGTCTCAGACCACCTTTAGTCCATTTAAAACCCCTATGTTGTCAGTCTGCCCAAATAGTGTACTCTTACAGATGAGAGAGGAGGCAGAGGAGGGGGAAGGGAAGTGTAGGGTAGAGGGAGAACACTACTAAACTTTTACTTACGTTCAATTCTTCTCTTCATCCTGGGACATACAAAGAACCAGACGAAAAGGGCACTGAAAACTGCACATCCCACCGAGATGAGGATGGTACCCCACAGAGGAAGTTTGTCAAAGCCCAGCACTACGAGATAAAATGGTGCATCTTGAAAACCCCAGGGCAACAGCCCCCTGCAACAACGTGTAAACCCTCCTGAGGGGAAGAAGGGCTTCCTCAAGCTAGCCCATCACCCTCGACAGCTGCTGCCATTCCAGAGTCTCATGAGGTTAGTGGCTATACAGACCATGGAGAAAACCCCAATGACCAGCTTATACCCACAGCAACCAGGCCCACTGAACACTTGCTGGACACGTGTACTGTACTTCTTCATGCTCTTGGCCCCACAGATGTAAGAGTCTCTACAACCTGAAGCTATAAAACCAACCAAGTATCCCTTTCTCCACCCAGCTTCTCATTCTAACTGCCACATACTACACTTACACATGACTTATTTTAACACTTAAAGTGTCGTGCTGACACAACTCTGGGAAGTTATCACGTTCACTGGAACAGGCAGCCTTCAGAGAAACTGTCTGCAGAAGTATCATCAAGCTAACAGAAGACAGGGCTGCTGCCTGTAGGAAGATAGCCATTTAAATAGGAGGGAGTTTACTAACAAGTCATTGAGAGACTTGTTCTCCAGTATTTTCCCCTTGGATCTCAGGATCGGCAGTGCTGGTTAGAATCAGCTTACCACTGGCATACAGGCACCTGGGGCTGCCGGTCTGCACTAAAGTCAGGACCACTTCACATTACTGAAACCCGGGGCACCACTGCCTGCTTGTTCTTCCCACAACAGCTGAGTACCTGCACTTGGTTCACTTGATTCTGCTTACTGCATATTAAGACACTTATAAAATGGAAACATTATTGTTCCATTAAAACCTTTTAAGCCAAGGTTGTAGCTCAGCCTAGCTTGCATAAGGCCCTAGAGCCAATCCCCAGCACCGTAAGAGAAAAATACTAAGAACTAGTCTTTAAGAATTGAACATAAACTGAGATCCTTCAGAACTGAAGTTCTGTGGTGACTACCAGTCTTTAAGTTCTGCTTTCAATTGTGCTCATGCAGTTAGTCACACAAAGTAAAATACAAATGAGGATTCATCGGTCTCTATCACAGTTTAAATGTGCCCACATTCCAAGCCAAAGGGAATAAAAGGACTGGTTTTCCTTATACACGATCCATAAAGGACAAAACAAAAGTAGCAAAACTCTTGCATCAAAGCCAGACCTGTCATAAAATCTACCTCTTTATTGACATTTCAAGAATAAAAATGTTAGAAATATTCTGCTAGCTGTTTTGCTCAGTGACTTACTACATAATTTCAGTAGCAATAATAAACAGGTCACAATCCAGTAGTCAGAGGTAGAACCAATTAAGAGTCACAAGTATTAAAATCCTCTAAGAAGTGAAGATGTGAGCATGCATACATAAGGAAAATCCCTATGCTACCTTTCTCTTTACATATGGACACAGAGGTGCCTTGGGCAGCACACAATCTTTCCTCTTCCCACGGATTAGTTAGAGAGTAAGTGTAGTAACTGTCTAGGTTCTTATGCAATGAAGATCCAGCACGCCAAATGAGCCTGGACACAGTTTCTCTGACTCATAAGGTCCAAGCTATCAATTTCTCAGCTGCCATTAAGTGAATTCTTTCCTTCCCTTAGACCCACTAGGAAAGCAAACAACACCTGAACCTTTATATCCTCTCAAAAGGTTCCCCTTAGCTGCAGAAATTCTTCTTCCAAGTGTAATTTGACCAGGTATTCAACTCTTCTCATTCAAGTAAATTCAGGGGCACAAACTGATAAATTAGAAACTGAAATTGCTCCAGTTGAGAGAGAAAAATAACACCCAATGACCAGTCCTAAATGACAGGTTATTGAAGAACAGACTAACTAATGACTCTTCAGCAGTTGAGGCCAGTATCAATTCCAGCATTTTTGGCATAGATACGACAAAGGGAGGGGAGAAGGTCATATTATCAGTGGATCCTGTGAAGACTAAAGAGGAAAGGTCTGTAGTGATTTAGAATCTGAGCAGGTCTCTTTGGTTGAAAACTATCTAGGTTAACTCAGCATACACTAGCCTGCAGCCTTCTGAAATGGGCGCAGGCCAGCCACCTTCTAGGAGATTTCAGCCCTGTAAAGCAAAAAGGGGTAAATTGGGCATTTAATGCAAGTTTTGTAAATAACCTTAAATTCACATGTAAATATCTTGATTTGTACTTACACGGTGCTCCAGTATACATAATGGAAAAGAGGTTTATTCCAATTGTGCAGGCATAAAAAACTGGTAAAGCACGTAAGCCATTAGGAACTGGATCTGCCTGCAAAACATTAAGATCAGTATCTTAAAAGTTGTAAATGTAGATCCATTTTCAGAGCACACTGCGGAAAGGCATGCTGTGGAATCATGGTGCTAACGCCTCCTACCTAATTTCTATAAAGCCAACTGAGCTTTGTCCTGAATTTGCTCCCTAAGAAAGTTAATGTCACCTTCTATCCATAGGTAACTTTTTCTTCCTATTCTTAATAACAAGGATGAGATTGATATGTCAAACAATCACTTCTTTTGAATTATTCAAAGTTCATCTGTAAACCTGAACACGGGACCCAGGATGAACTGTACTGAAGAGATAAACAGAACAAGTTAAAATACTTATTTCCTGATGTTCTGCCTCCAAAATTAAAAATGTGCAGGCTATACACATCTCATACATACACAAACACACACACACATATCTATCTCTATGTGTGTGTGTGTGTGTGTGTGTATCAGTATGGCATAAGGCATTATTAAAGTGCAAAATTAAATCAGTTATGAACACAGTCATCCATTCAGTCAAGTGACTGTCAAGACTGTTTAGAGCCCTGACGTAGAGGAGGGACCAGACCAAGTCCCCATTTTCACATAACTGATTGCCATATTTTACTATACAGTAACATACTGACAAACATCTCAAAGGACAAAAAAAAACAAAAACAAAAACAAAACAAAACAAAAAAAAACAGGCAAGAGGATGCTGATGGAGGAGGGGCATTTACATGATGTTTGGGAGTGAGGCTGACAGAAGAATGTCTCAGAGTGTCAGTGTAAGCCACCTGTCCACTAGTGGGTGGGGTGGGCAGGGATATAAGCAAAGACCCCAAGACAAAGCTGTGAGCGCTGTAAGAGCTGTGAGAGCTACCGATAATCCCACAGAAAAACCTCCAAGTCAAACACTTAAAAGAATGGATCCACCAGAAAATCCAAACCTTCAGTACAAAAGTTTAAAGCTATCCTGTCACAGTTCCATGAAACCCAAATGGGATTCCAAAGTTTCTGACAATCATTAAGACTTTGGGGAGGGGGAGAGGCGGCTTAAGAATCGGTGCCAGTAAAGAAAAACCACAAAGTCCCGCATTAAGGATGGCTTTCAAATCAATATAGACCCTCATTGAAAAACACTTAATTTTAAGGCTTTTCCCCTTGTTTGAGGGGACACTAACAGAGAGACACCAGATCAGAAACAACCGACAGAGCCCATGACTCACCGCAGAATAACTAAATAGCTGCAGGCCACACCTAAAGGCAGACAAAAGCCTGAGGTAGACAAGCAAACCCAGGGTTTCAAGAAAATTCTGTAGACATTAGGCAGGGACTCTCTTACCAAATTTTCAAAAGCTATTTAGTAATTGACTCATCAGGTAACAAGCTGCCTACATTGTGTATTTTCTTTCTTGGGGTCAGAAGGTGGACAAGTTCAGTGCTGTAACGCCAGCACTGAACTTGGTAGACACCCCACTCCCGAGTTCAAGGTCAACCTGCACAACAGACTTAGTGGAAAATATCAATAAATTTAAAATAAAGAGTGTATAGCTTGGGATAGAGTAGGGAATGACTACTCTTAATACACTGTGAATTACACTAACTGGTTAAAAAAAAAACCAAGTTGTAAGAGTCAAGAAAAATGATACAATAGGGACAGTCTCGCCCTTCTAGCCTCCCAGTTCTTCCCAAGAGGTAACTAGGCTAGCGATTTTCATAAAACGGTTTTCTATCATGTGACCTATTTGTCTTTTACATACAGTAATAGAGATAAAACCCAGCTGTGCACTAGGTCATTCAGTCAAGTCAACAGACTTCTGGAAACTATTTTGAGTCCAATCTAGGAGGGAATGAGACCAAGAATTTCAAGCTCTACTTGAAAATTACGTGAATATACCTCACTTGGTTCTATGGAGGGAGACAGGAAGGGGTCCTTCTTCTGTTACTGAGAGACTGTGACCAAATGACAGACAGAGAGGGGAGGATCCTCAAGGTCAGCAATGTACTAGACATCATGTATCATTCTTGATCATGCCCATTGCACACTCTTATAAGAAATATTCTCTCAGCTGAGAGTAGGGGCACCCCAGTAATCCAAGAACTTGGAGGGTAAATGCAGGAGGGCTAGAAGTTCAAGGCCAGTCTGGGCTACACGAGCCCACAAAATAGAATAGTTAATATAGCCAACTTGAACTCCCAGTGACATGGCATACATCCTCAGTGAGAGGTTCTGGACACTTGAGAAATCTTTGCACCCCTGTTCCCCACTCAGGGAATGAATACCAATCAGTTTTCTGAGCTCAGAGAAGAGGCTCATCAGAATTAGAATGATCTATTTTCCAATAATCACAGTGGCCAGCATAAACCTTCACAAAAAAAGGAATCCAAACAACAGTCAATTATTCTGGTTTTCTGGCACACTGAGAGACACATAGCTCTAACAGGAACACTAAACTTGGATACTAAGTACTTGTGGGAATCAAATTACCATACACTACAGTTAGGGGAATGGGCAGAGCACTATTCTACCTGCTTGCTGGATACAAGAATACCAAATCGAGCATCAGTGAACTGTTTACTCAGTCACACTGTGCCAAGCCAGAGATGTTTCCTTTTTTATTTGCTAATACTTGTATTATTAATTAATGAGTTAATTTCCTCACAGCCCAATCAGTTTCCCTTCCTTCCTCTCCTCCCAGTCCCTCCCCCTATCCATTCCCTCTCCCTTTCCTTTCAGAAATGTGCAGGCCTTCCATGTATATCAGTCAGTGGCAAATCGAGCTGTAGCAAGACTAGGCACCTCTCTCCTATGTAGGCTGAATAAGGCAACCCAGGAAGAAAGGGTCCCAAGAGCAGGCAACAGAGTCGGAGACCACCCCTGCTCTCACTATTAGGAGACCCACAAGAAGACCAAGCCACACAACTGCAACATGTGCAGAGGGCCCAGGTCAGTTCCATGCAAGTTCTCTGGTTGGTGATTCAGTCTCCCTGAGGTCCCATGAGCCAGGTCAGTTGTCAGCTAGAGATATTTCTAATGCTCAACATGTTAAACATGTTCTGCCAGACACATAATGGTGAGGATATTGAATCGGGAAGGAGTCAGGGAAGGAGGACTTCTATTGAAGTAACATAGACATACATCATTCCCGAGAGACTCTCAGAACTAGATCAAGAAGTAGGGTCTAAACATACTCCTTCCACTGTGATAAGGTTCCTACCTCCCCTCAGATTTCTACAGGTTAGGCAATTCTAAAACAACATAACAAAGGACTTTTAAGAGCCTTTCACCCTAGAAAATAGGACAACTCTGTCTCCTGAGAGAAATTCATTTATTCTTTCTGTAATTCAGTCCAGTGCCAACATAATCCCTTGTTGTCTACATTTACTGAGGATCAGACTCCACGATTAAAAAACAAAGATGCCACTAGGTCTCTCAAAAGGGTTTTTCAAATAGTGAGAAAATTCAATGGCTACCTCAAATTTTAAAGCAAAGCAAAACACCACCTAACAACCCGTCTTACCGCTCTTTCTACCTGAGAAAGCAGAGGCCCTACAAGTAGGGGCCTCATCTAGAAGCTTCTGCGTAGTTAGTAATCAGCATGGGAGAGACCTATTGAAGCAGTGGCTTATAAAAGCCACAGGATACTGTAACGCAATGAACTCAATGGTTACAATTCCAATCTTCCTGAATGTAATAGTGGTTTAGATAAGGTAGGAACCTATTCAAGGCTAGACAAAGCTTCCTTCAACAAATGCCCTTATTTCTCCCAGTCTCTCCTATTTCTTGGCAGCCCGTAGAACTACCCAGTTTTTCCTTCCTGAATGCCCTCTGGGGTATTAAAAACTTGCTTCTTTCACAGAAAGCCACAACATACAGGAGGTACAGAACAAAGAACTTTTTTAGCTTTCCAAAGCCACATACTTACATAGCACTCACATCTGAAAGAATACCAGGGAGTCTGAACAAGACTGAATGTGACTCACGAGAGGTCGTAAGTAGAAAGGTTACCTTACGGAGGATGAATGCACGAACAAGGAAGAATAAAATTCCAGACATAATACCAGAAAGCAGTGGAGAGACGAACCAAGACATCACTGGAATAGAACACAAAGTCAAGTGTCAAGCAATGAAACTAAGGAAACATGCTTCTGAAATGTTAGGTATTCCGTTTCCGATACTCTTAACTGTGACCCCTACTTTACACCACGCACGCACTCCCCGTACACAGTATTATAGAAACACATGACAAGAATAAGGCCTAAACCATTCAGAATTTAAACATACCAATTTTTATCAGTTCAGACCACTTGACGCCCTTTTGCCCCTGGGCCACGAGGGAGAAACCAATGGTTGCGCCGACAATACAATGGGTCCCAGAAATAGGGAGCTTCAAAAACGAAGCCACTAGTTGCCACACAGCAGAACCTGGAAGAAAAATCAATAAAATTTAGTTGGGGTAAATGGCCAAACCCCGTTATGTAAGCAGTGCATTCTCATGAAAGTAAGCGGAAAAAGGTTGAGGACAAAAAAAGGAACCACCCCAAGATACAAATTGGTTCTGGCACTGGCAAGAACAGAAGGCATAACAAGAACTTACCAAACATAGCACTGACGGAGCCAGCCATGAGCAAGCCTTGAGTTACATTGTACATCTCCACATCAATCAAGCCCTTCCGGATGGTTTCACTCACTTTGGCCCCCAGCAAGGCGGAGCCCACAGTTTCGAAAATGCTAGCTAGGATGCAGGCTTGCTTGAGAGTCACTACACCTGAGCCCACAGCCGTACCAAACGAATTTGCTACATCATTGGCTCCCACGGAGAATGCCAAGACAAACGCAATGATGAAGCCCAGGATGAGCATCCATAGTTTGTCGTCCACCACTGGAGCAGAAGCGGTAACGGCGGCTAGAGTACTAGTAATCGGTTCCACGGTAGATGCCATTTTCTAGTGTAGTGGTTCCTTAATTACTGAGCGGCTTTCAAGATGTGTAAACGGAATGAGGTATCAAAATGCTATAATAAATAGTATATATTATATAAAATTAAATACTGTAAACTACGGCACAGAAACCGAGCTGGGGAGTTACTGCTATACGTTGCGTATGGGCGTCTGTTGTCTGGGGTTTCTTTGGCTCTGGAGGGCTAAAAGCACGGAGCAGAATTCCATGGCGGATTAAAGAAAGGACGCAAGTTCATCCTGGGGGAACGAAGTGGGAGAAAATAACAATAGCGGCGCATCCCTGGCAAGGAGGCAGCCCAGAACTCCGCAGTGCCCTCCGCCCGCTACTTCTGTCCTCTGACCCCGAAAGGATGTGCGCGGTGGAACACATGGCGATCTCGACGAGCTCGCTCCCTCCCCCGCCCCGCGTGCCCCGCCCCACGCTGCCAGTTCAGTCTCCGGCCGCCGGCCCGCGCGCGCCCTCCGTGGAAGACCGGAAAAAGGCCATTCCCGCGCGCGCGCCTGCCCGAGGACCGCCG